GAACTTGATTCGACTTGTGCGACTGCGCAATTTTGTCAACTAATCTGGAGCCAAGTGGGCATGATATGACGAGATCCTTCATACGTGAACTTCCTACACAAGGTATTATGAATGAGTCGCATTTGACAGATTCGTCTCATCTCTGGCTCAAGGTCAGGCATTCAGTTAATGTAAGCACGTGGCTCTATTTAAGTGCCGTATAAATGGACCTATCCATTTTGTTAAATTGGCTGGGTTGCTGGAGTTCCACGTAATTATTAAATTTCAACTTCAGTAGAACATTCGAAGTATTATTATGCTCAAGATATAAATAACGAACTTTATTATTCAGATATTTTTGTTGAAGCTGTATGGACCCTATAGCGTTTCTTGTGGGAGTCTGATGTTTTAATCAACAAAACGCCAATCGTATGGGTTGTCTATCTTGATTTGATTTTTAAAAATTGAGTTACCAATTAAATCATCTTTTGTTTTGGCAAAATTCCTCTTCAGGCGCCATTCCCAGCATTGTGCTTAAAGCTTATAGAAGCACTTTGATTTCTGCGTCGCATTTTTAAACAGTTTACAGAGACGTCTTGGGATTGTCAGAAACCAGACTAAAAGAGCTCCTCCCCAGGAGGAATTTAGGACATTAATTCCAACATGGCTATTTTGGTTTAGCGCCTTCAGCACATTTTTGGGATGTTTTGTACCTAGTGGACAAATATCCATCATTAGTGCAAGCAGCCCTATGCGTTGTCAAACGAGCCCACATAAGCACGTAAAGACAGATTCAATTTAGAGGAGTACAACAGTAGATTGAATTGATTCACTTAATAAAATACAGCGATGCACCGAACAGTCCACCAATAGGGTGAGAACCTTTTCATCGATTAAACTGTTAAGAAAATATTAACTGTGAAACAGGAAAATTATTTTGAAATAAAAAATACAGAAGGAAAACGTTGTATTCCCATTGCATCATGCATGGATAGGTTAACGACCACGCAGTGCCTTTATGATTCATCTACAACCTTTTTGGCAGCAAAATAATTAAAAATTTATTACCTTGTCAGATGCTCGGAATCAAGTCATGTTCAATGATGAGTTGGAACAAAGTGATTTTTAAATCATACTTTAAAACTCATCAGAGAAATTTTGGGAAATCCCTTTCAGCAGCATCAGTTTTGTCTTAAACAATGGCTATGAAAGTCAATCAAAAACTACTTCCCCGTCAAAATTAGGCATTGAATTGATGTTTAGGTCACCGTCCGCCGTGAGAATGTCAAAAAAGATTCATTTACAGAATTTGCGCTTTTCTTTAAAATCAATTCCATGCAGAATAATCTTAACCAATGACGCCTACTTTTGGCAATGAGCTGGAACAAGAGAGGGCGCAGTTGTCTTGGCAAAGGAGGCTCCTTTGGTCGGAACTGCACTGCGATGGTTCACGAACGCCTATGAAATGCATGCGCACGCGTTACGGTCGCATCGCCGCCAACAAACAAACAAACACTCTAGACCAACAAGGCTGTATTCAACCGATGAAGAAGTGCTTCTGCTCAAAGCAGACAACAGTAAAGATATCATTAAATTTTGTCAGACGTGCCATAAACCGACTGACAGAATAATACAGCACTTATTTCTGCCTCCATACCAGCTGCATGGTGTACTGGCAGTCTACGGCACAAGTGCACTCCATTTCATAATGTAATTTGCCGCCAGCCGTGCAAATAGGTTTTCTCCCGTCTTTGAGGTGTCGCCAGTTCCATGTAAAGTATCCGGCACGTAGTTCTCTAGGCAGCTGAACCCTTGTTTTTGGAATAGATCAGTCATACAAACGCCAGTGGCTGATTTCGAGGGGATCGCCGCCAGCCCATGCTGCCAACTAGTTTATGTTTTAAAGTCATCTTCTTTCTTAAATGCATTTGTAAACAAGAGCCTATCTGAGGGAGAGGGGCCAACAGGGCAACCCCCCCCCAACAAAAAGGAGCAAACAAACTATGAGTGTTTTGGGTAGAGGGGAATAGTACTGAGTGAAAGGTAATTGCTATGTCCAGAACCGTGTCAAAAAACACCAAAATGCCGCCTCAAAAAGAAAGGCGTGTCTTCAGTTACCTTCTCCCCAGGGAAATTTGCTATTGGATCCGCAGTTGTCTGTAAAACCAAACAATTCAGCATAATACATTTTTACAAAGTCCTACGGAGGGGCGGTCTTGAATTCCACGCTAAAAAAAAAACCAAAGTAGGCGGTTGCCGTAGAGACGCCTTGGCGAGAAACAAGAAAAAACACCACCTTAATACCCAAGAAGGGTCTGCTGATGAAACACACCGACAATCAGCTCAAGTTTTATGTTACTCTTGTCGGTATGACCTCCTAAGGGGAATCAACTCTCTTTTGGCAAAATTGGCACTTTTAAACCAAAGGTGTTCATACCCCAAACAAGGTATGTTCAATTTAATCGTTCTAAGCCTATTATGCAGTGTCTCTATAAACGCAAAAGCAAAATCTTACCTTTACCAACGACAGCGTCTCACGACGCAGATATGTTGGAGATATCCTCAGTTATTGAAGGACAGTGTAAGCTCTGATGCATCTCTAGATTCCTGTACTTGACTTGATATTTCGAGAGGGTCTGTTCACTTGATCAAGACACACAGAGCCGATGTGTGGGTACATCGTGGCGCCTGAGAGATTGATGTGACAACTGCTCCTCCGAGAGTATATTCTGCCAATACGATCAAAGCAGTGCTTCGATTCCCACGACAGAATCGGGCCGGGCATATGGTGCATGCGTAACATGTACTGAAATTCGCACGGACGCTCCGGCACGGGAGTCGAACCTTGACAAAACTCAACTGAGCCCCTAACACCCCCTGTGCGAGGTCCTGGGTCTTTCTATTCGAACACAAACCCATTTCCCAACTACTGCCCGAGCTTTCCCTTGGATAATGTACTATGTAAAATATTCATCTGTTTGGCGTCTGCCGTCTTCGTCTGGAGTTCATGCTTCGCCACCTTCCGAAGCCTGACAACATAGACTGTAGGTGCATCAAGAGTTATACTCTATTATTTGGAATGATGCAATGAATATCATAAATTTCGTATACAGGTTACCGGCGTGTAACATTTTGACTTCAGTTCATTAATGATCGCATCTGTCTGACGTATTCAAATGCCTAGTAGTGATTTAATTTTTTCATAATTTGTCCGAGATAACGTTTTAAACTCAGTTTTATTTGAAAATTACCGAAGAGAGAATCTAAAAAAGAAAAAAAGGCAATGGCTCTGAGTAAAAATTCCATTTAAGAAATGCATTCACGGTTAAAATCCGTCAGGACTGACGACCTATGAAACTGGGACACGCAGTTTTTAAAAAGCCATCCATAGTTATTAAAGAAGTTGGTCATACGAAAGCAGTTTCATGTTCCAATCTCTGACAGACAACGGCCTGGATTTACTCTGATCTCCAGGTTATGCGGATTCTGTTGGTTGGTGCTCAGAGGGAGTTACCGTTTATGTTCCGCACACGGGTTGTCCGAGGTTCCCCTTTTTGCCGTTATAGCAGAGTTGATGTCTTCTAAATTTTGCAGTTTGTGTGCCATAAAATTACACTCTATAATAGAAAGAAAACGGAACATCTCCAAAAGGCAAATAACGTCCCCTTTGGTATTTTCTTCAGAAAGCTTATAGAAAGAGTTAGAACTAAGTCTTTGAAGTACCGATAAGTGAGGGCGCCCTTGCAGATTTTACCGTCTCCCTTCGTCACAGTTACTCTAGTGCCGCCCACGTTGTAATTATGTAGAGGTTCAGGGTTAGCTACTCATCACTCATGCAAATATACGGATACGTTAGCCCACCCCCCCCCCCAAAAAAAGAAGTCTCAGGTTTATGGTCAGAGCGCGAGTCGCCGTAGACCTGCGCATCGGCAAAATGAACAGGTTTTTTTTGCTTGGTAGTCCTATAATATGATGTCCAAAAGCTGCCAAACTTGCTTGATCGACTAGAATCCTGCTACTGCGTAATTTTAACATGTTTGGAGTAATATGTACTGTAAAAGAGTCCCTCTAGGCCTCCATACATTTAGTCGGGCACTCTTTTTGAGATGACTCCATTTCTGTATTATACATTTATATACGGAACCAGACAAACAAAGTGGTCTTATGATCTGTGTACATCTACAAGCTGAAAACGCTAAAGTTGAAACAGTAAATAGTGAGGGGACAGTCTATTTCAGTAGCAATGCCATGTGTTTCTAAAGCACACGTGAGTGTACATCATTTTCTTCCATGGAAAAAAAGTAATGGCCAAAAATAATAATAATCACGTCACCGCACCACGTTTGGAGCCAGCCCCTGACCAGAAACCGCAAATTGTTTTGGCCTTGCCTTACAACTTTGCAGGTGAGCCTTTAGTCCTTTCCTTTTGTTTTCCCTTTATTTGGAGATAATAGGATTTTTACTTCTACATTTCTCGGTGTTGTCCACTGAGAAAAAAATTGGGGATCAATGGGAAATTTGCAGGGTCAACTTAATTATGCTGATCTGTCACTTTATTTCTTTACTTTTTCATCTCACTTTATGTAGAGAAATAAAAGCAGATGCTTTTATTCTAATAAGTCTCTGTAATGATATTTATTATCTTACATTTGCAGACATTGTAAACAGAAAATGCTAATATTTAACAACGGGTTTCATATCAGTGCAAGTAAACGCTTGTATTTTTGTACTGTAAACATCAGTTGGGAAAATAATTAACTTGGCGTTCCCCTTGAATGTTGTAAAAATTTAATGAACTTTTAAAGCGCCTGGCGATGTATGCGTACGTACCTTGACAAATTAAAGTTAAGAGTATGACGAAATAACAGATCAATATCTGCATGATAAGCAGGTATTAATTAGGTCAACGGCACAAAAAACGACCCCGTGCTAATATCGATCTGATTGATCAAAGCAGTCCAACACACCAAATTAGAGGAATTTATAAGCATCGAGGACGCGTACTGCTCTGGCAGACGAAGACAGGCTGTCCGGTAGAAACGAGATTAAGACCGATTTCCCTAGATACGTTTACATCAGGCACGGTCGTCGGCCTCTGTTGTTTGAGTTTTGTGCGCTGGGGACGTGTACAGCGACAAGTCGATGGAGGGGATCGTGGTGCTTGTTTTTAGCTTTGGACGTGAATTTCCAAGGTAGTTTTCAGTTGTAAAAATCATGGCATTTTTTCGTTTATGTTGGTTACTGAACTTCGTTAAGCTTGCATTCACTTGGCCGTCTTGGGAGGTGGCGTGCCCGTACGTTTGTGAGTGCGACACCAGCAAAATGATTGTGGACTGCACTGGCGTCGGACTGACCGATATTCCTGTGGATGTACCGAATAGGACCAGGTATCTCAACCTGGACGATAACCTCTTCACTAGGATCGAGTACTCGTCCATGTCCCGTCTTGGGCCCTGGCTCCGAGGCTTATCTCTGGCCGACAATGCCTTGGAGGAGATCTCAAACATTAACGGCTTGTCGCAACTTCGGCGATTAGAGAGGCTTGATTTGAGCGGGAACCTATTATTAACCCCGCCCCTTGGCGGATTGCAACAACTCTCCTCACTTTGGCGGCTAGATCTCTCCCGAAACTACCTGATGGCACTTTTGGAAGACAGTTTCCTCGGACTCTTGGGCTTGCGAGAACTTTACCTTGGTGAGAATAGCATTCAGGCTGTGCAGAAAGGCGCCTTTGCAAACTTACCGTCCTTGAGAAAACTGTCGCTCGTAAGCAACTCTGTTAAAGCTGATCCTGCCGGGTGGTTCACAAATACCCCGCTGCAAGAACTACAGTTCTCACACAACCGAATCCAGCTAACTTCGGGAGTCGGTGAATGGTTTGGCCCTAACGGGACCATGAATCTGAGGTTCCTGTTCTTGGCCAACAATGGCATAAAATTTCTCCCACTAGACGTGTTCAGGGGACTGGAGAACCTGGAAGTTCTGGACTTGGAAGGGAACTACCTCAGCATTATCAAGGAATATGATTTCAAAGGTCTTGGAAATCTCAAGGAGCTCAAACTGGATGGCAATGCTATAACTGATGTCTTCGCGGGGAGTTTCTTTAACGTGCCAGATTTAACTGTGCTCACGTTGAGCGGCAATCGGTTGAAGAGCCTTCCGCTAGATTTGCTCAACCAAGCGGGGGTACTTGCATCTCAAAGTTATGCGTCCAACAAGCCGTCACATAATGAAGAGATGGGTGTCTTTCAGGAGTTGGAGGAGCTCTATATGTCCATCAGCGAGTTCTCAGATTTGGTTGATCGTAATCATTTAAACCCGTTACGAGAGCTTAAAACCCTAAGCCTGGGCCACAACCGCCTCCAACGTGCTCCGGAATTTTGGAACCTCACATCGATGCAGGTTGTTGACCTCAGCTTCAACCAAATAACAAGGATAGACGGAGACACCTTCGCACACAACGCCCAACTGCAGGAAATCTACCTGGATCACAACGACCTGGTGTACCTGGACCAGGAAATGTTTGAAGGGCTGCAGTTCCTCGAGACGCTGACGCTGAGCGGCAATTCCTGGTGGTGCGACTGTCGACTGCTGTGGATGCAGGACCTCATGTGGTTAGAGGAGCAGCCACTGTGGGCCGTGAATCTGGGTGAGGAGGTGGCGTGCTCATACCCGCCTTATTTGAACGGCATTAGGCTGATGGAAGTCGGGGTGCAGACCCTCCAGGACCAGTGCATCAGCCTGAACGACGGTTTGGTCCTGCCTGCTGTCATCTCGGTCTGGTTTGTGCTCATCGTCCTCGTTGTGGCTCGTGTCTGGTTCCGGAGGTATCTGGCGGTCCGCAAATTTTCCCAGGACAAGAAATCCAACTTCAGATACGAAAGGAAACGGAAACTGCGGCGGCGGCGTCACGGGATCACCGGCGACCAATCTTACAGTCTTTCGGCCAAGTTCGGCCAGCGAAGATTGTCCTTCCCCTTGCAAAGGCCAGTGCGCTCTTATCGAGACGTGACGGTCAAACCCGATGTATACACAGAGCAAACCGAGGACAATAAAACGATGGCAGAGACATGTCTGTGAACCAGTAAAGCAGCGTACCAAGTCAAGAAGAGTGGAAAATTACAACAGGCTGAGCTGGGGAAGGGCAAAATGTGGACGCTGATGGGGGCAAAATCTGAACGGCAAATGGACTGAAAATGAAAACCCGAGACACTAGCTGAACATAAATAATATTGCATTACAAACATATTCCCAAGTTGGTTACTGTGGCGTCATAGCCTTATTATGAAATTTAATCCAAACGAGACAAACGTCCTGCTTTCGAACGGAAAAGCAAGAACCAGGTTACACCGTAAACACCTGCTGGTGAAAGGCGAAGGTAGAGCAATCAACAAACATTCTTAGAGGAATAAACTACTTTAATTGCATTATTTTAAAATCTCACTTTTTATTTTGAAACAACTATTGTATAATACTACATCCTTTACTAATATGTAAAAACAAATTGAACAGCTAAACAATCAATAGCCATTTGCATTGAAAAGAAAATTCACACTAACACATAGTCAGATTCAACCGATTTATAGAGATGAATACCAATGTGTTATTTTATCTTTTGAGTTCCCTTCAACGACGACCTTAAAAATTCATTTTAAATGATCGTAGTAGGCCTAAACCTTTAAATTTAGTCGAGAAATTGGGGCAAAATGGAGGATTCACTCTTCATCTCGATGCCAGGGGGCGCTATTTTATCTAGCCCACCATGCAGTACCCCGACGCATGTGCCGTTTTCCAATACTCAACTTCGTCTCCGTCTAAGGCTTCGTTCCCAAAACTGATCCCCGATTGCGGACCTGAAGCGTTTAAATTATATTGAATTACTGTAATTTTTGGCTCCCTTACATCTTGTTTGATACTTTGTGGCACTATTAGACTAATTACTGAGCTTACAGCTTTAAAGTCAGCTAGTTAATTAAAAAAACAGTTGAAGCCTGAGACGGAGCCGAAGTTGAGTATGGGAAAACGACCCTGGAGGCTTTTCTATTAAAAAAATGAACATCATCCACTAGTTATCAACAATTGAATGCATTGCTACTGACGTGTTGATCTTATTACGTGCCAAGACGATTTTTGGAAAAACAGTTACTGTTATGGTAACTTGAAAGAGACAGTTGGCTGAAACCTTCATCATTTCGATGGATTACATGACATTCTTATTGCTTTGAATTTGTCTCTAGTTTCAATCTCCTTTCGTTGAGATTTGAGTAGCTACTGAAAACAACGACTGAATGTGAGAAGTGTCGAGCGTGTAAATGCTGTTTGTTTCGTAGCATCTTTTCTAGACAGTTAAATTGGGTATATTGCTTTCAACAAGTTACCGCCAATAGTCTAATATGTCAGACGTACAGCAATCGACGAGGTGTTCAGTGTGTGAGGGAAATCTTCTTTTGACCATCTTGAAATTAGAAGACGTCTTAAAAGTCTCCATCAAATTATCTCTTTAGCTCTCCAGGCTACCATGCATGCAAACCCCGTCGCCCGGCTGAGTTCGTTCGAAAGAGTCGATAACCGAACACGAAGTTTCACCATTTTGGGTCGTTCGTATGCCTGGTTGATAGAGGTGGTCTGGTGTAGCTTCACAGCGTTGAAACATCATATATATTAGCGGCCCACTAATACGTGACTGGTTGTGAGCATATGGACTATGCAGAGCTGTAGACTCGAATCACTTGATTCCAACTCGAGTCGGACTCGAGTCGGACTCGAGTCGCTGTTTTTTGTGACTCGTGACTTGACATGGGCCGTTTTCCAATACTCAACTTCGGCTCAGTCTCAGGCTTCAACTGTTTTTTAACTAGCTGACTTCGAAGCTGTAAGCGCAGTAATTAGTCTAATAGTACCACAAAACATCAAATAAGATGCAAGAAAGCCAGAAATTACAGTAATCCAATTTAACTTAAACGCTTCAGGCCCACAATCGGGGGTTGGTTTCGGGAACGAAGTCTGAGACGGAGCCCAAGTCGAGTATTGGAAAAGGGCCATGAACTTGCGAAAAATGAGTTGTGACTTGACCTGGGCTTGCACTTTATGACTTGTTACCAACGCAAGTTGGAAAATCACTCGATCGAACCCATGAAAGTTTTAAACTCCGGGCCCATCAACTTACTCCTTGTGTTCTTAAAATAATCAGCGTAAGACTTCGTTCATTTCATGAAAAGAAACTAGGCCTGTGTCTAATTGCTGACAGTCATGTAGTCATATTAATAATCTAAAATGGCAGAAACAGGTGGCAGGCGTTTGGCATGATACTTGGCAATTGTTAAAGTATTGTAAGTAAGTATGAAGTCATATATACTGTAAAAGTGTATTAGTACACCTGGAAATTGGTAAAATAGTAACGTGTACATGTAACTAATCAAGCGAGTTGGTTCATTTTTTAAAACCTGTAAGTCTAAGGTCGATGCTCTGCCCCGTTTGATTGTTATAGCTGGATAAAATAATGCGCCATTTGACTTATAGTCCTACTTACAAAAGACTTGTTAGTTGCTTGTGTTTGGATCAAATTGACTTGTGATTTGACTCAGTTAACCTGTGATCAAATTACTTGTTACTTGACTTGTGACTGGGCCAAATGACTTTTGACTTGGATTACAGACTTACAAGTGTTGACTTGCCACCACCTCTGCTAATGATGTAGTATCCCATTGGACTATTTACTTCAGATCGGCTACACAATGAAGCCTATCGTGGCCACAGTTCGTACTAAACTGGCGCGTCTGTGGTCATTATGCAACTTCTGCCAAAGCTTTATGAGTTGTGACCACTTTAGGTAGGGAGCCACTTTTATTTCCATGCATGTCCGCATAATAATACGTGTTGAACTCAACACCATCAATCGTCCCAGTTTGACTTGTTATTTTACATGCGACCTTGAAGCACTCACGGTCATTGCTATTATGATTGTCTAGTGCAACCCTGCTTACAGTAACCCACCATTTTTGAAACGAATTGCATCAAAGAAAGAGAGTACAAATATCAGTGGGATTCAAAAAAGAAACCCAATACAATCCCTTTGGGAAATACCCCTAAATTGAGGATAAAATTATACTGCCGATGGGACTCTCAGATGGAGACTGTGAATATAATGAAAAGAAAATTTGTACAGACAAGTCTCGGTTACACACTACAAGCCAGACAGTACCGTACCTTTTCAGTCGGTGTCATTATATGCTACACTGCTGTTGGGTTACAAAAAGTGAAGTTGTTCGCGAGCCAGAATTCTGCTGCATCCGTCTAAACTAGCATTCTGATGAACAAAGGTATTTTCAACATCCATTGAGGTTGAGTGCAACGCTGCATGAAAAGCGCTTGCGCGCCCCTTATCCCACATTGTGGAGAGTCGCTGAAAATTCGACATCCCTCCAGAAAAGTTTTATGTCGACGTGTATAATCTGTCCTTGACGACATTTTTTTCTGAACTGTTTCTGTATTTCCCTAAAAATTTTCAATCAATAGCATCAGGCGAGGTCACGTGTACTTGGACGTGACTGAAGCTGACTGAATGCTTGAGTGATGTGTGAATAGTATTATCCATGCTTGTAAAGAGTGAACATATGCGCAATAAACTCCCAGATCTTAGTGTCCTTCTTGGTAAGTTACGAAAACTTTCCTGCACTGCCAGGTCAATTCTGCATCAGTGCCTGAATATGGTGGTGCGTGTACTTGTATCGCTGCTGGTTGCGGCAGATTTCACGGGCCTGCTCCTACGCGGGCAATCAGCGAAAGTATGCCCAGCAGATTGTGAATGTGACGCGGACAAAATGCTGGTTGATTGCACTGACCGCGGGCTACTTCAGATCCCCGTGGAGGGGATGCCTAACCGAACCAGGATCCTGGTTCTGGACGGGAATTTCGTCAACGAGGTCAGCGACGGGACGATTGTCCGTCTGGGACCTTGGCTGAGACGCCTGTCCATGGCTGGTAACAACCTAGAGAGGTTTCCCAACGGGAGTTTTTCTCGGCTCTGGCGGCTTAAGGCTTTAGACCTGAGCGACAACCACATTTCTGATGTAGCCCCCATAGCAGTTCTCTCCTTACGGCAGTTGATCCTTTCTCAAAATGACCTGGAGCAGCTCAACGCAAGCACTTTCCGCAGACTTTCTTTGTTGCGGGAACTGTACCTCGATCAAAATACCATCTGGTCCATTCACGAAGGAACCTTTCGGAACTTGCCGTCGTTGATGAAGCTGTCACTAAAGGACAACCTCCTCACCGATGACCCTGTTGGATGGTTCACTCAAACTCCACTGGAGGAACTGCACCTGTCCTACAATCGAATCCCACTTACAAGTGGCATACGCGGGTGGTTCGGCGAAAACGCCACTTTGAATCTGAAGCTCCTATTCTTGGAGAGTAACGGCATCAAATTTCTTCCAAAAGATGTATTCGCTGGTCTGCAGACCCTCGAGGTTCTTAACCTGAACGGAAACAGACTCACTGTTGTCAACAAGCATGATTTCTCTGGTCTGACTGGCCTCCAAGAGCTACAACTAAATGACAACGATTTAATGGAGATCCACGAAGAAAGCCTGATTCAGACACCGTCGCTTCTTTTTCTCACGGTTGATAGAAATCGATTGAAGAATCTTACATTAAGGCCAACTGGAAGTATAACCACATTGAGCGTAGCTTCTAACCGTCTGCAGAATATTGCAGGGCTCACTAACGGCGCTGTAGTCGAGAGCCTGCTGGATCTCACTCTGACTTCCAACCACCTCGAAGACATATTTGGTTTAAACTCGCTCCCAGCGCTGCTCTCCTTGAGACTTGACTACAATCGCGTCCAGCGTGTCCCTGAATTTCAGAATCTCACATCTCTACAAAATGTTGACCTCAGCTTCAACGAGATAAAAGGGATGGATGGGAATACTTTCAAGCACAATACCCAACTGCAGGAAATCTACCTGGATCACAACGACCTGGTGTACCTGGACCAGGAACTGTTTGAAGGGCTGCAGTTCCTCGAGACTCTGACGCTGAGCGGCAATTCCTGGTGGTGCGACTGTCGACTGTTGTGGATGCAGGACCTCATGTGGTTAGAGGAGCAGCCACAGTGGGCCGTGAACCTAGCGCAGGACATCATATGCACGCAACCCGAATCCCTGAAAGGCGAGCCTCTGCAGTACGTCAGTAAACGAGGTTTAGAGCGGCAGTGTCCAGTCTTCCAACTGGGTGTGATTCTCCCCGCAGGTCTCGGTCTTTGGTTCCTGATTCTAGGATTTCTCATCGCTCGATACTGGGTCCGGCAGTACATTAGCAGTCGCAAGTTTGCAAGGCGGGTCAGGTCGATCGTGAACTACGGCAGGGGGCTGCAACGGAGAAGGAAGCTCGGGGTCAGCAAGTGGCCCTCTCATGTCCTTCCTCTTTCGACAAAGTTTGACCTCAAGCACCGGTGGGTTTCCTTCCCTTTGCACAGGAAAGGACGGATGTACCTTGATATTAATGCGTCATATCTAAGACACGAGGATTCTGTCTGCGGTGTCTTCGACAATGACACTTACTCTGCTGCCTTCGACAATGACACGCACTCTGATGTCTTCAAAAATGGCACGCACTCAGAAACGTCTGTTTAATTATACATGCAAATGGTGCTCAAAGCCATCATAGATGTTTACTATATTTTTGTCTCGAGTCCCAGGTCACTGGCTATTCCAAATGACCCATTTCTTTGTAATTGTTCACTTCCTCATGCGAGTGACCGAACTTTGCTTTAAATTATGACAGACGTAAATGGATTAATACCTCTTATAAATTGCCATGCACGAGACCGAGTTAAACAGCACTCCTTTTCAGAGAAGGTCTCAATTTATTGGCCAAAACGCAGTTTTCTAGTCTTGATCCATCACAATGATTCAGGAAGAACTCTGAATTGAAAGCGGTGGCAATTAAAGACAAAGTGTTGTGGTGGAGGTGGTAATGAACAGGCTGACTGAATGTATATAGAAATTAATGCACTAATTTCAGTTCCAAGCAGCATGTTTATATGCAGGCTATTCATCTCAGACATGATGATGATTCGGGGATCTAATGGTAGGTGGGTTTTTTCAGCTTCTTGTATTATACCAACAGCAGAAATCACTCACCGTACAAAAGTTCAGTTCCGTATTTTAGCACCGATAAATATGCTAGGAAATCAACACGCGATTATATAGGCCAACAACTAAATATAACTTAGGAATTTGTTCAGCAAATGTTTCATTTTATGCTTTATTCATAATTTTTTTTCAAACTCGTCGAAACTCATGTACATGTTTAAGCATTATTACCTGATGTTAGTTTTGTAGTCGAGACCCCTCAATAAATCGTATTCCAGGAGAGGCCATTATTATCTCGTTCCCTGATTCTATCACATTCAATGTAATCCATTAATTGGGATGAAGCCAGACTCTTCGGGATCCAAAAATCACTTCCATTTTATTTCTCTTTTTAAATAAGGCTTAAACATTTAGATATAATTTTTCACAAATTTTAAATTATTTTCAAGAAAAAGTGGTGTGAATTGGTATGAACTTTTATTTCGTCGGTGTTATTTTTACTCTGAGTTTCCCAAAATGGAAAATTTGACCTGAGTCACTTCAAATTAAGATGGCCGACACAAGGATACAGACTATATCAGTACAAGGCCACAGTTTAAATGTAGCTCACAAGCCATTTTAATGAACTGCAACCGCCAATCACTGGTTGAGTGCATTGTATATTTGTTACTTCATTGCGTCCCTGACTGGTCTTGTGTCTAGTCTCAGGTCTGGTCTTGACTTCAATACGGCGTGCAACGTTAACATTTATTTCCGGAATAGAGACATCTCTTTTCCTAACAGAGATATCTCTATTAGGTTTCCGCTTCCGAGGTCAGCAGATCGCCCTCGACATTTTGTGTTTAAAAATCTAATTTCTTGAGATGCTTTGAATCGTGTCTTAGTCCTTGTACTCCCGTAGTTGTTTACATTAGGAAAAACGTGACACAACCCCTTGTCCCAGTGAAACTTTGTGCGTTACGTTACAATGACCTTTTCGTTGACCCAGTGTGCGGGACCGGAAACACAATAGAGATATCTCTATAAAAACAGGACGTACAATCGAGAGATCTCTATTGGGAGGAATAGAGATATCTCTATTGGGAATAGAGATGTCTCTATTAAGGATAGAGATATCTTTATTGGGAATATGTCAATTTTTAAGAATAGACATATCTGTATACGTGGATTAAATGTTAACTTTGCACGCCATACTTCAACACTGCCTAATGTGTCTTTAATGTTTCGTCAGTAAGAGAGGTGAGTATGCTTGATGATAATCGTTACATTTGGACGCCATGGACATGTTCCTTGGAGATAACGCTTATAGTGCTTTGATTACGTGAAGAAAACACACAGCACACTAACTTTGAAACTTCGGTATAGGCCCACCTCACGCCGAATTCCATTTGTTTTCACACTCTTGAAATAAGAGGCGTGCTATCACGTATAGCGTGAGGGCGTGCACGCAATGACTTTGTTGATTTTCCACCATGACTTGCTCATGCAGTTCATCATGTAGCCGTTAAATCAAGTTGTGGTTTCGCAAACAAAATGTATAAAATTCCCAGACCAATTAAAAATCTCTTCTATCTTTGCACTTCTTCTGACAAGTGTGATCCTAGGAACAGAATAATCGAACCTGCTGTCCAATTTATATTTTAACAATTTTATGCTTCGTTTAGGACAATGTGATATCTAATTAAAGAGGCTATATGAAATATTATGCAATACAACTTTAGTTTTGCCATTTTCGTTAGTATTTTGGTGTCTCTGAGATTTTCATGCCAACTGGTTTATTAACAAGCAAAATTGTGATACTATTTTGGTCACTAAATGCTACAGCTATTTCAGCTAAAAACTTGTTATTGATATTTTGCTATAGCAAATGCCTTTTTACTAGCTTAGTGATTCACTCTGTATAAGCTTCCTGGCTTCCTGGGAGATTTTGAGTGAACTTGAAGTTACTAGTATCATCATGATATATTGTTTTGCCATGTGTATATATATTACGCCGATAAAATACAGAGGGTGCATGTCTGATTGGTATTTTGTCAACAGGGTCGACGGCATGACTTTCCGTATTCTGGAATATTTACTCTCTTCAATCGCTCGTATGTATGCACTTTGTGCGTTTATCAGGTTTCGGAATGTCAGAGCAAACAGTCTGAGATCGTGCACAATAGGAGGGCCTACGCATGCAAATTGCGCCATTGTGCTCTCCATGGCTGCCTGGAGCTCAACTCCGTCCGATATTCGTGGGAGCTACTCAGGCGAATAGTAGACTGCCTACCTGCCTGTGCGAGATTCAAGCTGCGTGATATACAGAAAGAGACTTACAAAATGCTTGTTCTAGAGATCCCCTCGCATTACAGCACAAAGATATCATCTCTGTAAGAAGATATTATTGGCGCATTACTGCCGTATATAATTTTTATGTACAACCCTTCAGATATAGTTTGAGCAACTTCCCACATCTTGAAGTGCAACTTTCATCAGGTCGCAGTGCATGACCATCGTGCGTCTGCAAAATAAGATCCAAGACAGCAACTTTCCACCATGGAGGAAGGAAAACATTCCTCCTTGCTGAAGAACCCGGCCCTCCAATGTCTCCTGCTTACCAAGAGTGAGCAAATTATGCTACCAGCTGTTTCTTGCCGCTCAAGTATATGTGGATGTGACAGGGAAGCCAGTCTGCCCCACCACAAAAAAAGTCCTGTCTGGTACCATTATGACCATGATAATTGTTGTTGCGACCTCCATGGTGAGGTGAACGGACGATTTGCCTCGTTAACGTCACTTTTGAAACCCACGCTAATATTCATCAACAGCATTGATGCACAGGTATAACGCTGACAGGCACGACCTTGCCGCGTAGAACCCAGCCTTACAGCTGGAGCCTCGACGTGTTGTGGACGACCGCGTATCAAGGATGTTTAATTTGATGAAGTCAACTTTCCAAGCATGTTTGAGGCTATTTCCCGGGTGATAAAGTTTTGTAAGATTTTCACCAGAACCCAAGGTTACGGGACCAGTTTTTGCTTCGTACGTCTTGTATATTACCTGAAGCGTCGCCTATATAGATTCATCAGTGCTGTAACTTCGTCAGGTAACGTTTGATTTACAGTTTACAATGTTTGGACAGGCAGTTTTAAATAAACTAGAATTGCACCAGCTGCACTCGTGAGAAAAGACTCCTTCGCTCAAAGATGGATAGGGTCTATGCTGCATATGAGCTGTGGAAAATATGCAGCCCAACAGTGTTTGGTTTTTGTTTGTTTTCTAAGATGTTAGAATTATTTCAAAAGACTCAGAGCAGCAAGGTATACTCCCCAGCCCAGATTCAGCGTCACATTTTAGACAGGAACACGCATACCGCATAATGGACATGAATCCAGTGATGCCTTGATATAATTATGTATCACTAAGGGACAATTGCGGTCATCTACGCTTTAAAATTTGACGGGTTTTGTTCGGTCATAGTTACATATGAGTCGCTTCCATTTTAGCAGGAGATGTACGTGTATATTGTTCCAGACTAAATGATGTCAAGTTCTTGAGTTCCCTGACATGTAATTATGAAAATACTCAGCACACTTGAGTACAAACGCATGTAGACTATTATAGGAGTTAATTAACCCTAACACTCCTCAGTCCTCCAACAGGTGAAGGATTGAGGAGGGTTAGGGTTAATTAATTAAACTGCGTACAAATGAATTACATCTGGTCCACGATAGGGGATGAATTCAGACAGAAGGGAAAGATGTAAACAGGAGGATTTCGGTATGCTTGCTTTACATAATAGTCTGGTTCTTTGTACATGTATTTTTGCTGCTATATCAAAGCACATACCGGGCTTGAAGACTAAATATTGAACGGGGCTTATACTGTTGTATGTTGTAGCACACGCAAACTTGCTTCAAAGCAGTCTTGTCACTGAAAGTGGACTATCTTGAAATTGTCATTGCCACTTTTAAGATGACATTTGGAACCAACTTTCATGACAATGGTGGAAGTTCCATTAATGGTCATGATGACATACAAGAGTGTGGTTCTACTTTGCGTAAGTTCTCGGTAAATTTAACTGAAATAATTTGAGAGTGAATTTCTCATGTTATATCTTTACATGCAGAGACAGTTCAGGCAGTACAGCTTAATTCCTGGATTTATTTCTGAATGGGCACAGCCATGAAGGGTTTCTCACTGCTGCTACAAATTCTGAGTTTGGGCTTCGTATGCATAATGCTACAAACAGCAAAATGCCATCCTTTTTTATGTTTGGATGCCGTATATCTCTGCGATTGTGACGCTACGAAACTCTCGATCGACTGCTCAGACCTGGGGTTCCGCACAGTTCCCCTCACTGATATATCCAACGTGACGTCGTCACTTGATTTTGGCGGGAACCTTTTGACTGCCATTCTGCAGGACACATTGAGGACTCTTGGAGAGTTACTGAGACTGTCTTTGGAGAACAATCAGATCACTTACGTCGAATCTGGGTCCTTCAGTGTAACAAGAGAACTGAGATTCTTAGATTTGTCCGGGAACAAGTTGTCTGTCATACCGTCAGCTTTGAATGTGTTGACATCGCTGAAGGTTCTCAATTTCAGCAACAATGAGCTTTCTTCCCTTTCGTCTGATGATTTCGAAAGTTTCACAAAGCTAGATACTCTGCGACTTGAGAATAACCGACTGGATTCTATATCAAACACCACGTTCCATCCCCTGGCAAATCTGGAGCTTCTTTACATTGACCATAATTTCATAAGCGCAGATCCCATTGGCTGGTTTACCAACAGCACTCGACTGGCTTACTTACGCATGTCCCACAATCAGATCCCACTCACCGCCAACGTGGAGGTCTGGTTTGGGGTCGCGCAGGAAACTCTACCGCTGGAGGAGTTGCATCTCGATAACAACGCCATCCAACAGATCTCCGAAGTGACTTTCAGGAGCTGCGAGAATCTGAAAGAGTTGAATCTTAGCGAGAACGAGATTGCAAGCATAGCGCCTGGTAGTTTCTTTGACTTGACCAGGCTGCAAGAGTTGGCATTAGATGGAAACGAGCTGTCTGATATACCCGATAGTTTGTTTTTGGACACAGAAGCCCTGCTCGTCCTCTCACTGCAGGACAATTCCCTTTCTGTACTTTCACGCAACGTATTCGCGGGTCTCGGACAAGCAGTGCAGCTAAATTTGGCTGGAAATGGATTAACTACTTTAGGCCTATTTGCTTCCTCCAACGGGGCTGACTCCCCTTTCCTTCCTGCACTGACAAGCTTATATTTGAATTCAAACGTGTTGTCTGAAATACCCGACGTCCACAATTTTTCGAACTTGGAAATACTCGATCTCAGCCACAATATCATTTTCGAGATGGAGCCCTACGCTTTTAACGGAACCTCGTTGCGTCAGCTTCACCTCCATGACAACCTGCTGACGACAATGTCGCTGGAAAACTTTCAGTTTTTGCCCGCTCTGCAATCAGTGACAGTTACCGACAATCCATGGATATGTGACTGTCGGATGTTTTGGCTCGTCGATCCGGAAGGGGAAGCGCTGGCTTGGAAGAGCGCCCTCTACAACGACGTGTTCTGCAAATCGCCCGATTTTGCTGCTAATCTTGACTTGCGCACGCTGCACCTGCGCGAACAGACGACGAACGGGAGGAGCGGTCCGTTCTCCCCTTGCGAGACTGCGAACTGGCTAATCATCGTCATCATTGTCGTTGTATGGGTTCTCATCTTTTTGCTTGTCCTGGTCTGCTACCTGTCTCACTCGATGAACTATGAGAAGGGCTACGTCAGTCGAACGATTAAAACAAAAGTCGTCAGGGCAACGTCGCAACCGGCAGAGGCATCAGCGCCTTTGTCACCTAGTCCCGCTTGCCTGAATGAGGGCGCTACCTTTGATGAATTGGACAAATGCACCATCACAAACGCGACCTACGAGATGACCGCAAGGGACGAGGGGGGATCTGAACTGCCAGAGATCGAACAGTTGGAAGTCAAAGGGCAAGTGACACGGAAAGAAAGCATCGGCACCACTGTGACGGTAACTTTGACTAGTGCTGTCTGAACACTAACAAGACGGGAAGCTTGAATGGTTGCAGTGACTCATTAATTGTTAATAAGACTTTTTTGTGTTCCACACGTGAAAAACAACCACACAGAGAGCAGAAACTAGTTTGACCAATAATCTAGACTAGTTTTAGAAGTGTGACGAGGCACATCTTACCATTTTGAGTGGTGTGTTTTTTGGGACACCGAAACTCTTGCCCACTGGAAAACTGTTGAGTGACATCACCCAAGAAATTGAATCTAGCTTTGCTTCACCCTTTTGTGGGTTATAAAAGGCTTTTCTGGGCCAGAAATGATATTTTCTCGGTTTCTTAATGGACCCAAAAGTGTTCTTTTTGATCCGGGAAGATTTACTGAAATCTAGACAGGGAACAAGGGAGGTCGTGTTTTTTACATGGAAACAAGGGTCCTTCGGTCGTGAGATTCGGCTATAGTTCAAAGCCCCTTCTTATTCATTTATTCGCTATTAAATCAATGCAAATAGCCCTTCAAAGTGGGATTACAAACTGATATATACTATTTACCGTTTCAGCCATGTTTAATTCCCACATCAGGCCCCAATGTTTAATACAATTCAAATCAATAGGGATTTACATATTATATGGGAAAGGAACACCGTATTAAATAGGGTGATATAAAAACACATGCATACATTAAGCCACAATACTGCTGTTTTTCACCATTCTGTTAAAACTGATATTGGGAGTTTTTTTTCTAAAGCTTGCAAAGGTGGGTCCCGGAGAACAGGGACATTCCGCCTTGCCCTCCCCCCCGAACCATTTTTAAAAATAATGACAGAGAGGCAATGTTTAGTCTGTTTTCAATTCTCTTCCAAAAGCGTGTACACAACCCCAAAATTTAGCCTTACTCGTAAAAAGGCCATAAAAGGTTCCATGAAAAAAATCCTGAGTTTTTAACCCCCCAAAAAATAAGTTTGTGTCCCGGAAAGTTGGTTCTAGTTTTTCCCTTGAACCCTTGAGGTTTAGTGTAAATCATGTGGGATTTTGATCATTGATGTTTGCTTTCTGGAGAATAGTTTTTTGGACTGTCAACTTTGACCCATTTTTAACGGTCCATGACGTGAATTTTACTTGGAACCTTTTTTGGCCATTTTCTATTTCTCAAAAGTGCAGGAAAAATATCCGATATCTTTAATTAGGGTTAACTTCTATAAAAAGTGCTTACCTTCAATAACAAACCCCCACCCTTTTCCTGACAAAAGAAATGGCACAATAACTGAAAATTACTGTAAGTTAAATGGGAAACAGAGAAACAGTTACCAGAACTACATTAAAAATACACTGCATAGCCCTTTCAGCATTCATGCATATGCTCCTATATCATATGACCCAGTTCACACTCCTGCACTTCCGACCTTTTACCAGCTAGAGGACCTACATCTTTTATTGTTCTTCGGCAGAGCTGTCCTTTCCTCGTGCTCAAATACGTTGTTTGTGTGTCATTTTCCAACCCTTTTATGTTTCAATACAGTGATCAGGCCCAGCCCGTATTTTTGTCGAATTCCTGTTCTGCCCAGGTAAGGTGACAAAAACAGAAGTCAGGCTGATTACTTATGCCATGTTCACGGCGAGGTTCTTGCCCGCGTTTTGCCCTCCAGGAGCGTTTTAACTGTCCTGGTAGAAAGTTAACGGTATGCAGTTACACGCTGACGTACATATGGCCCTGTCGTCCATTAGCGAGTAATGCCTTTTCCATACAACCGTAAAAGCTGCCAGAATACTGATGTGAGGACACCTAGGAATTCCAATATACGAACTACCGTGACAATTGAGGGGACAAATAGTTAAACCAGAAGTATGATCCACACTCTGCCCAAACTAATTAGGTTTATTGTCGTTCGTTAATAATGTGCCTGATGTAGAGCACTATACCAGTACATTTCGTTTGAAGTTGGACGTTAGCAACAGATGCAGCATCAACTGTCACTGAGAATTTATAAGTGAATGGGATATAACATTTCACTGGAGGAAGACTTACGAACTCAAAAGGCTGTAGCCGACTGAAACCGTATCCCAAAACAAATTCAAATTTTACTGAGGTATGCAGTTCATTCGATTATTCACGAGTGAACTGTGTTTACATTACTCGTATGAATCAAAGTGTGTTGAGTTCAATTTTGTACGCCTGCAACGAATGCGAAGGCCTTCGTGCCACGGCTGGAAATTCAATGTTTTATTCTTCTGTCAACAGATGTTTTACAAATGGGCACGATGGCTATCGATCAGTTTTTGATGGGTATACACTATACACCAGTAATTCGACACAGTGGTGGATCTGTCTACTGACACACCATAACCACTGGCCTTGTTATGCATTGTGTTGGTTCTTTTTCCACCCTGATGTGGTATTTTGGCCCAGCTTTTAGCGATAGCAAATAAATGCACTCGAGTTTAGAGCAACAGCAGTCTTGTGCAGAAGACGTATCAGACTTACAGTCTAAAGGGAAGGGAAGTCATAGGGCCACGTAATATGGTTGTCTTTTTTTTAAAAAGTCATTTGGGGAGTTCAATTCCACCGCGGGACTGTTAAAAATGCGTCGAATGGGGGCGGCAAGCAAATCTTGGGATTTGGTGATGTCACCCAGGTTTCTTGATCTTGCCGCCGTAATAGGGGGTTTTGTAACAAAGAACGGAGAAAAAGTGGGTAAAGTAAGTCAGATGACATTGCGCTAGCGTGAGACTGCATATTGCGTACGCTAAAAATGAACGGATTATTGGTGCCTTCAAATAATTGATATTCACTGGCTTGAACAGGTTTCATTAAAAATCAGCCATATCATCGCAAATCTAGCGTTTCATCCACCTCGCCAACGTTGCTATCAACACAAAAAAGTATGCCGCAAATTAGTAGTGTACAATTTAGTGTTGTGTCCGCTATTTCCACCTGCAGTGTAACATTCGGGGTGTGCCTGGGAGGAATCCGCTTCAAAATTAACACCCTCAGCAAAAATCTGTTACTTAAAGAAGGTAGAAACAGCCGTGTAAATTGAAAGAAACTTTCCATACAGTAGCGTCAAATTTATAAAAACAAACGAGAATGAAACGAGTCCCTGGAACATTTTTAAGAAGCAGCATGCCCTAGATAGTCACTCCAGAAGCAACAAAGGCCAGCAGCCTCTTGAGTCAGACACATCCTTATAGGCCATGTGTGAATTATAAGGCTGCGGCTAGAAATTAGGCACGAGTTTATTACGGTAGTGGACTGCAGCCAGTTTCCATAGAGCCGCGCGTAAATTCAAGCCGCAGCCAAGACGTCATCCAGCCAGACGAGGCCAGTCTTACCCTTTTTCTTCTTTTTTGATAGCAGGTATACCTCGAAATAAGAGACATGCGAAACGTTTGCACAAGGACGTCTGTGTTCAATGAAAAAAACAACCTTTAATTGAAAACCTTGTTTGTCCACCGTACGTTTTCGGCTCTTTTTCCGTATAATTTACATTTGTATACACAAGGTCAAGTATACAAAGTTGTGAAGTCTGCATCGATGCTGTTGAAGTGAAGTGATTAAGGTGATCAGGAAATTATGTGGAATTTTACTGTCGGGGTGTTATGATACTATGGAGAAAGCACCTCACAGCATCGTTCATAAAAGTGCCTAACAAGTAGGATAAAATCAGGAAAATTGATTGATTCGTCTTAATTTCTGTTGGGGATCCAGAGAATATCCACCAGTAAGCCCAGCAATGAGACTTGAATTTGTGATCATTGGAACTAATTGAAGTTTTAACAAAACATGCATATCACCTTTAATTTCAAAGGAAACGGAGATAATGCTGCGCACTATCCATTTTCAGCGTCCTCCTTTTTTTTCTAAAAAGTGGCACAAACTCAGTCAATATCCTTTGATAGCCAAATAAGTCAATAAGATGAAATAAAAGTTGTCATCAAACCCAGACTTCTCTCTTTAAAACTGTGTAAGTTATAAATACTGTCAGACATGTTTCAAGTGGACAGTGTTTGCTTGCATTGTTTTTTAGACATAGGCTACTACAATTCAGTACAATTCGTGGACAGAGTTTAATCACAAAACACGTACGCAAACAGGGCCGATATTCGTAAGCCTGCAGACTTAGATGCCAACTAGGACTTCGCAGCCTGGTTTTTGGTTTCGTGGTTACCAACTAATTTAGTATTCATAAAGCCTTGCTAAGAATGTTACCAGCTGGTTGGCTGTTAAATATGTTAAGCACGCAGCTAAGACATTTCTAATGCACCCAGCATGACATGGACACGCTCAATACAACTGGCTGAGACCACAAGAGTACTTCAAACCCCACCGGAAAATTTGTATTTGCATGTCAATAGGATATGGTGATGTTTTGGACGTTTTGGGTGGGTCAAATGACTTTTAGGAACAGCAGCCAACTAAACATAGCAGGCTCTATGAATTGCACGGTTTAATAATTGCGCAAGCTCAAGACCAGTATTCGTCTCGCCGTGTTGGCTGCTTAATGTGTCACCTACAAAATTAGTTGCCAACTATTAGAAACACCCCTGATCAACTCTAACGTCAGCAGCCAACTTAGCAACCAACTAAACTTAGCAAAGTTTGATTAATATCACTTAGCTTCCAAATAGGCTTATCCATCAACTTGGGCCAGTTTAGCAGCCAACTAGGCTTAGGCCAAAAAAATCTGCAGTTTCTGGTCAGGGGTTTGCTCCACAACTTGTGCGGCGACGCGGCTTTTTTTACCCTTGCTTTTTTGCTAACAATAATGTACGTATAACGCACGATGTCCGTCGCTGTAGCCTATGCGTACGTACCGCCACTGCTAACTCTGAAATAGACTGACCCCTCGCTATTTATTTGTTTAAAAGTTTTTTCAAATTGTGGAAGTATACAGGACATAAGACCACCTGGTTTGACTGGTCCCCAGAAGTAAATGTATAACAGACATTATGTCATCTGAAAAAAGTGCCCTACCAATTTAATGTATGGAGGCCTAGAGGGACTTCTTTACTGCACATATAACTCAATCGTACCCCGTCTAAAACACGTTGAAAGTTTGACAGCTTTTGGACATCGTATTATACCAAAAAAAACTTGTTTATTTCGCCGACGCACACGCTGACCAGATACCGGAGACTTTTTGTTTTGGCCTTAGCAGACTTTCATAAATATTATCCTGGAAACTGAATTCGTTACCCGTTTAAATTCCTTGCCCATTCCCACATAAAATTACTCCAGCCTGACAATACCCTATTGCCTACACTAGAATTTTGTCCTTTATGTTATGATGGATATGTCGATAACACAAGAAGAATGGCTTCAACAAACAGCCCAGCGTACAAAACCACTTTTCATTAGGTACTTTAAACTCCACAGTGACCTTGGGCCTAGAATTAACAATAGCTATTGTAATGTTCAAAACTTGTTCGTGCGTAACGTACCCCCAACGCAAACCTGAGTTTTGTCCATTGAACTAGTTAGTATAGTGTGCAAATAGAAAAAACTTTGGAAAAAAAACCCAACTTATAAAAATGGGAGTTTGAAGATTAGTCACTGCTGCACTTCTCTGGTCTAACTGATATAAACTGGGCAGTTTATTCTCAAGCCTTCATCGGGAAATCTCTTGACCTTGGTCACATATAGCAACAGGTTGTGGATGAGAGGCCCTATACTGCCAGGAAGTGTACACTTTTCAAATGTCATGTTATCTGCTCTGCGAAGATGAGTTATTAGACGATTGTTTAGTAATTTTGTTTTTTGCCAGTATGAGAAAGATCAAGTAACGAGTTTTCTGCATTCCGTTGAAAACAAGTATTAGGTGGATGAAAAAACTGTAGGAGTTCCTATCTGCAGCAATCTTCTTCTGTAGAATATGTTCTTCTTCATGTGTTTTGCTACACGTCAGGAACTTTTCTTATTTTCTTAAATACTTTTACCAGAAACTTTTGTAAAAAATATTGGCGTGGTGCACACAACTGCAAAATTTCAACGTATAGAATTTTTGCAGTTTTCACCGCCAAATTGGGTACAATTTTACCCTATCGTTGTTACCAATATTTTAGGTACACTCACGTACCTATTTTGAAAGGAAAACTTTGCAAAGTTTTATGAAGAAAAAATACCTAACACCTTTTATGTAAATTTATAACCAACTACCAGCAGGCTTGTATAGCACACATTGCACTTATGCCAATTGAACACAACCTGCATGTGTATCATTCTTGAGTATGTACTCTCTGCAGGCTAGTACAAATTCCTCGCAATCTCAGTCTAATTATGTCCGCCCGACACACAGGTCTGAAGGATGTACACGGACAGATTAAAAAACTTTTTTTTTTTAAAATTCGTGGTTTCTGTAACATGCTTTGAATTTTACGAGCAATCCTTTGTTCAGGTTTTGTTCAATTCACCAGCTGTGCTGCTTTATTTCGACCATCTACAAAAATCAATTATGTTTACTTTGGTCTGCTCTTTGTTTACATAGCTCTAAAGAGCACAAAAAATAAAGTGCTGGTGATAACGTTTGAATTAATATTACTGTAATAGTCTCATCAATCGATAATATATTAGGCCTTGTCGTTTTATAATGATGAACATCGCGGGACTGGGCAAGTACTTGCTGTGTATGTAGGTGGATATAGTACGCCACGTTTGCCGAGTCCTTTGACTGATACTGCCGTTTTCCTCTTTGAAAGATCATTTATACAGACCTTATTTACGAAAAAGCCATACGTGACCGTGTTGCCTGAATCTTTCAAATTGCACAAATTTTGCTGTTGAATGGAATATTACCAGTTTATAGCATATTTATATGCATGGAGTGCGTTCTAAGCATCACGTTCATTTTTTAAATGTGGCTTAAACATGTTTTATTCATTCATCGGAGTAGACCGACAATAAATTGATGACATTTGATTTTATTGCGTATTCTACTAAGGAGTCCATAAAAGGAAGACTTCACCTCGCAAAATTCAATTTTGACTATAATGACTACTGAACCGATTTTGTTAGCAGATTTTTACATAAGTATTTTTGATTTTTTTCTCCAATTTGCAACATCCCTTTTTATAACATTAGTAAAAAATACGCCACTGTAACCTCAAAAAAGTAATCAGTACACAAAACGTTTGTTGCCCATACATGAAAACCAAATGAAAATATTTACGAGACAACCTAAGTATATTCTATTCAAATACGTGAACACTTTACCCAAAACTATTGCAGATTTTCAAATACTTGTCAAAATTTAAATTGAGAGTATACTGAGATATACTTATGTACAAGTGTGTACTTACTTGTGTATACTTATATTTAATGAGACTGATAAAATAGTAACTTTTTAACAAAATTATTTTCAGCAAAGAAGATGCGCAACTAATTTGTAATACTTAGTTCATTCAGTGAAAGACAGAATAACAACCTTTATAGCCATTCATTTGCATAAATTTTACTTACATCTCTAAATAGAATATATCATTGGTAGTATTCCAGTCACGTTTTTCATTGGCAGTGCGTGTAATTGCTTTATCGGGATAACATGGATGTAAGTTTGTTCATTGATTCTGTCACCCAAACACATACAGCCACAATGTCATAATAAATGTCGTAATGTCTTTATCAAATCAATACTTTTATCAATTTGCCTCGAAGTCTTCTTGTGAAACCTTCCCCTTAAAAGCCAAGGAGAAAAGGTGAATCGTTTTACACGGTCGTGACCCTGGCAATTTCAATCCTTTCCCTGGGGCTTACGTCCCCGTTACCAGGGTTGCTACCACAGCCATCCTGTTCATCATTGTCCTTATTCTGAAGGATGAGAGCGTACGAGTCTGACCTATCGATGGGGCGACGACCTCGGAAATTACTGCCAAAGATTCCGTTACTCCCCCTTCGCTCTCGACGACGGTGGTATTTGACGTTACGTTTGCCTATCTTCTCCCTTTTCCGGACCCTGCAAAACTTCCGGATCCAGAATCTCAGCAAGACGAGCAGGACCAGCCCGAACCATGAGCCGAGGAGAACCAGAATGGTGTTACGGTCCAAGGGGTTTGGACATCGAAAGACCAGATCGTCCCTTGTTACATCTGTGAGAGAAAAGCCTATCAGCTCAGGCGGTTTTACACACAATACGTCGTAGAGGTCCTCCACCCAGTATGGCTGTTCTGGTGTGTACATGAGCTCTAGCATCCATTCGATCTGGCAGTCGCACCACCATGGGTTGCCAACCAGCGACAGCTTCACCAGATAAAACAGCTCGGCGAAAGGCTCGTACTGAAGATGTTCCAACTGGTTCTGTTCCAGGTAGATCTCTTCGAGTGAAAAGCTGCCTTCGAAGGCGTTGGCCGGCACAAAGCGGATCTGGTTCTGGCTCAGGTCCAGAGACTGCAACTCCGGAAGGTTCCTGACATTGGGGACGTGTGTCAGCAGGTTCCCGCCGAGCACCAGATGTGAGAGCACAGGGAGGGAGGTGAAGCCTTGGCTGCTGATTTTCTGAATTGAATTTGAATAGAGATACAGCTCCCTCATCTCCGGCAAGTACTCGTCTGTGATGGCCGAGATATCCTCCAGGTTATTCTGCCCTGCGTTCAGGCGTGTCAGTCGATTCGAACGGCTAAACAGGCCAGCTAGAAGACTTGCCAGTTGGTTTTCATCGATCGACAAAATCTGTAGGTCAAACATGTTCTGAAAACTCTTCTTATCAATTAACTCCAATGAATTGGAATTCATAATCAATTCCTTGAGGTTAAACAGCCCTTCCATACTTTCTTCTGTGATCTTCCGGATTTTGTTAGTCCCTAAGTCCAGCTTCATCAAGTTCACCATCCCCCGGAATCTACCCTCCACCTTCTCTATTTCGTTGTTAATGAGGACTAGAATCTCCAGGGGTGCAGTCTTGTTGAGGTCGAACCAAGACCGGACTTCGCTCGACAGTGGAACGGCATTGTGCGAGAGATGGAGCTCACGTAGCGGGCTATCGACGAACCACCCCACCGGATCTTCTGCTAGAAAGGTGTCCATCAGTGACAGTTTATTGAGTGAAGTCAAGCCGTGGAAGGCTGCCCCGTCAAAGACGTCAATGGTGTTGTGGTCCAGGTATAAAGACTCCAGCATGTCGAGACCCTCGAAGCTACCGGGGGAGATATACCATAGTCTGTTTGTGGACAGGTCCAATTCCCGCAAAACGCGTAGCTCACGTATAGCTGGGGGTATTTCCACCAACATGTTGCCGCCGAGGACCAGCCGATGAAGCCGCTCTGCCAGATGACGGAAGCTGCCGTTAGCTATGTCCTGAACACGGTTGCCGGCTAGGGACAGATCCAGAAGGCTTGGAAACCCAGACAGTGTCTCTTCGGTCACCGTGCTCAGGAGGTTCCCGCTCAAGTCCAGCGACTCAGTCCAGTTAAAGGACCTGTCCCTGGCCACCTCGAAGACGTCGATGAGTTCCTTGCTTGAACAATTTGCGACAAAGATGTCAAAGTCGCAGACGCATTGGCTGGGGCAAATTCTCCATTCATCGCAGGCGACTCTGCCATAACTCGCCACTACACAGAAAACGAAGAAGCCCGCTATCGCAGTAAAATATGGGGAGCGTTCTCCACTGCAGACCATGTTTTGTAGCGCAGTTAGCGAGCAAGACCGCTTTGTTGGTATTTATTATCGCGCCAGAAAAAAAAAAGTCTTCCAGATTGTTTCAGAGAACTTACTGCTAAAGTTGTTTGCATTGACTTTATTTTCCAGAAGATGAACATTAAGTGCATGGCTCCCTTGTTGGTTTACGATAAAGCATGGCACTCCCCTTACAATAATGACTGTTGTTTACATGAAGTTATTGTATTGATTTTGTCATTGTGAAGAGTCTTCCGGGTTTTAATTTCCGGGTGGCGTTTCCTAGCTATCATATTCTTTTGCAATGGGATGAGTGTCATCAGACGGGTTCCAACGCCCCGTCATTGGTGTAGTACTAGTCTGCACCGTGGACGTGCAAGGTGTCGCTCTACAAGTCGCCATTGGCGATGGGCTCTTACCGGCATTTCCGCGCCCACTGGAGAGTTGCTTTCACCGACTACCAGCACCGTACCACCGTCATTTTCTCCGCTCACACGTGCAGCCCTAAAAGCTGGTTCGTCCCGCGTGCAGCGACCGAAAGCAGTGAAGTGAATAATGTACCTGTTGGTGTTATTGGATGAAATGNTTTCGATTCGGGGAGCTTCTTTTCACGAAACGACCGACCCGTCGTTCCGCATCGCCTGTGAACCATAACTTGAACACTTTTACTGCAAACCCGAACGCAGGCACGTGTGTTGTGCAGAATTATCGACGTATTCCCTCAATCATTTTGCCTTCCATGCCTTCCATTGTGTTTTATTGGTGTGAACTATTCATCAGCACCGAGGTCAGGAGGGAACGACAATCCATTATTGGATAGAAACAGAGAATCCAACATGGCCTCTCTGTAATATGCGGGCAAACGTAACACATTTGGCAAAGTTTCCTCACTGTAGTTGCAGCAGACTGGCCTGCCTCCTTCTTTCACGTTCGAGTCTGTGAAACTATGCATGCTTAAGCATTCTCGTTTCATTTACGCTAAATGGAACGGTGAAACAAGAAGTAAGCTTCGCCATTTTTATACCTTACCTCGGGGGCGTCAAGCCGTTTTCGTTATGAGCGAAAAGGGTAACAGTAAATAGTAAATAAAAGTAAACTGAGTTTAGATGTAAATACAACCGGGAAGTGAAGAAGAATGGCACCGTGAACTTGAGCTCCGTATTCGGACTTGAATCAACATAGTTGTTTCTGATGAAGCATAGGTCTGGGGGTATATTGCTGTTGTCAGGGGCTCCGTAGCAAGTGTAGGTTTCGATGCCCGTATTGAAGGCCTATTACTCTTGGCATTGTTGAACACAAGTTCTTGATTAAAATGTTACAATATATAATTTCCTTTCCCCAAAAAAGTAATAACAATTATCCCCGACTGACTCTTCTGGTTTTCTTTCCATGGAAGGAATTGAGTGCAACAGGTTATGTCTCGTCCTTGTGTTAAATATAGTTTATGTATCCATTCAAACGTCCCTTTCCCGTCATTGAATTTTACACTGCCCATAAAATCCCCAATGTGTCTCCAGTGTTTAGAAACTGCATGTCTGCCGTGGCCGGTGTGATGTCGAGATGCCCGTTTATTTGTAGAAGTTGTGCACTTGATTGTGAGCTTTCCAAAATGTCGGCGATATTGCAAAAGGGACACTCGATGTGCAAGACACGCTGAAAAGAACACTTTTGGAAAGTTGTTCGAATAGGGGGGCTGCATGGAGCGCCCTCTTTGAGGACATGTTTGGCAATGAAGTACAAGGCCGAGTTCGGGCGGCTTGTTCCCGTATGTTCACGAACAGCTCGATTTGTTGGTCGTGGTTCGGCCGCTCGAACGCCGGGAACAAACAACTGGTTATCGATGCTAGTTAGTGACAAGCAACATGCAACATGGCGGCGTCCATGTACGTTATTCGAAAGTTAATGTTTGGATGGGCCGAATTCTTTCTATTTAAACAGGAACATTCATTCCCGTGTTATGGAAATTAATTCATGTTAATTTTGCAAAACTCCCCATTGTCTCTGGCTTTGGAAGCCATCTGTCAGAATTCTCCATTAATTAATTCCATATTTTATTCCTATTTTTTCTATCAGGTCAATTAATGTCAGATATTTTCTATTTCAGTTCAGCTCCTGTGTCCAATCAATCTGAACTAAACTGTAGCATGCATTATTCACTAGACTTTCTCTTCATGTTTAATTTATAACTTTACTTCTTCAGGTTACACATCAATGACCAGGGCCATGGCTTTCTGTACTCACATGCAAATTTTTCACCCACTTTGACTAGGAATTTGGATGCACTACCTTGTCCTTTTGTATTGCAGTGGAGCTTGCCTTTGTAAAAACTTGTCACAGGTTGTGTGGATAAAGAAAATAAGGCTGAAGTTCTGTGGGCGATTTGAATGTGAACAGAGCACAACTGAGTATAAATGTGATGAACAATGATAGACAGTAGAGAACTAAGAGATGCATCATGATGATGAGGTGTGTGGGCTGAGTTGATAGTCCCTGTCCCAGTGCCGCGCGAGTTTTGTACTTTGGTTGCGCCATTTACATCAAGTGTATATCTCTTTGATGCACTAGATTTGTGAATTTACAGTGAATTTGAGATTTGAATTCACACATACCTGTACTTACCTGTAAATACTTGAATTGCAATTACTGATTTTCATGCGTGTGTGAATAGACATTCATTTGATAAGTTTACTTCTGATTCGGAGTTGTAGCTACGCTCACATGAGAGACATCCGATTGTAAATACGGAATGGTGTATATTTTGTATGATAGAATAGAGAAATTTTGTAAATAAATACATATCAAATATTGTGAATAGTACAGATTGTATTTTGTTACAATCATTTTCTGGCCTGCATCCAGTCCTTCTAGTTACAGTGGCCCTGAAGTGCTTTGAGCAAACTGTGACACCATCTCTCTACTTTTTGCAGCTGTTCAAAAATCAAAATCTCACGAGTTTTCCGTGTGTTCCTGTAAAACCCCGACGACGAGGTGGTGTGTGATCCTGTTCCGAGAACAGCGTTCTTGAGTCGTGCTCCCGCTGTTCGAGCGCGAGAACATGAACCCCGTGTCAAGAACAGGCCGCCCGAACTCGACCTAGGGTACCTAAATTAAGCATATCACACAGGAACAAAGACCTGTCCCCTGACGTGAGGAAATCAGAAAGGGGAGCCGGTTTATACGCTTGAGACATTCGCGAAAATGTCAACGACATTATCCAAAAATCAGCGCAAAGGTTTGCAAAATTAGAAAAGGTGATAGAAATGGTTGCAAACAGGCGGAAATCTGCCCAAATTAATAGTGCTCGAGGCGTGCAGATAACGGACCTGAGACTTACTCAAAATAGTCTGAATCTTTTGGTCTTGGAACCAGACTTTAAAGAGTTTGTATGTCAAAACAGTTTATCAGACGTCGGGAAGGAAGGGTGTTTTCAACCTCAGTTTGGGACAATCAGTGGTATTTCTCACAAAAACGCTGTGTTTAGATTAATCGAAACCAAAAACAAAAGTTAATGAGTAAAGCTGAACTTCATTGAGTAAACTCAGTCAACAGATGGCGCTATAATTCGCGGTTGTGGAACTCGCAGTGTAGGCAGTTGGGATAGTTCGATCACGAGTCCTCGTCGTCTTCACAGGGTTCCGTCCGCGGGGCAAATGCAAACTTGAAGCTTTCTAGCTGTGATCGCTCCATTGTTGAAGGTACTGTAGATTTTGTTTAGTACCTGCTACATTGCAGGAATTTGTTCATTGCATCGATGACATAAGTGGCCTTGTCAGCCCCAAGAGGTCAAAAATTGTATGATTGTGACGTTGTAATGCATTAGGCTAGGGCCTACATGGCGTAATGCATGTTTCGTAGGCTTGTTCTTTCATGCATGTATACATCCCACTATTAATCATTTTGCTCAGTTTTACATATACATGTAGGCCTACATAGCAAGCCTACTGACAGAGGCGCGTTCCATACATGTTTAACACAATTTCCATACACGGTGTGTAATGTTGCAATTATTTCTTTTTTGGTAGACACAACTTTCCCACAGATGTATACTCTTCTTTATTCAAAGTGTGAAAATTATTTTTCATCCCCGTTTAGTTAAATGCATTGCAATGCACTTTTTGCACTTGTGTGTTTTGCAATGCATTTAACTTTTTAAAAGTACGTTCAAAATCGTCCATGCTTTCCTACACATCTGAGGGCACTGCTGTGATTGATGCCATTTTGCAAAGACATAGAGCGCTTCCTAAATGAGTGGATTTGGCTCAGACGTTGGTTTTGCTGGTTCCAGCCATTTTGAAGCAGCTTTCGAAACCACATTTCAAGCTCTGACTAGGGCCAGCAAAACCGAAGTCTAAGTCGATCCACTCGTTTTGAAAATGCTTCCAAGCTGGATCCGAATCAGTTGTCTGGAGGGAAGCGACTTCATACTAGCCCGTGAAACCTGGTGCGCTACTTTTTTTCAGTAGCTGGGGTGACAAATGATTCGTGAAGAGGGGACAATGCAATACACCATTTAAGACATTTCAAAAACGGG